GATATTTATTGTTTCCTATTGGATTTGACAACTTTTATGAAAAAAAAAACATTTCTTCTTTATGACGTGAAATAATTACGTTGTCTTCCCCCTCCCCCCTCCCCCCCTTTTTTTTTTTGACGATTATTTTATTTTGTTCACAGTTCTACCGTCCAGTACAGGCCAACACAGGCGGGTAGTTACACGTTGAAATGTCGTGCTGTCAACACTGTCTTCACTGACATATACAAGGAGAGTTCACAGGTCATTTTGTCAGTCAGAGGTGAGGCGTTGGATGGTTTGACATGAACTGAATCATTAAATCTTGAAATATCTCTTTTGAAACTTGTTTAGAACAATTGACGAATTCGGTTTTAGGGTTTCCTTTCAACAATGTAAACTAATGTATTTGCTCTTGATGTATCAACTTGTAGCGCCATCATTGGTCGACATGCATTTTTACTGGACAGAAATGAAGCTCTTGCTTAACGACAGTAGCTGCATGTCCAGAAGCAATGAGTTAACAAAATTCCACCTTTCACCTTTTTTTTCATTGAAAATATCAGTTATAATTTCATGTCTGTTCTGCACACTGGGAAAAAATACACCCCCTCCACTTTCCTTTCCACCAAGACACCCCCCCCCCTTTTTTTCCATGGAAGTTGGCCGAAAATGCCGCCTTTCAAAATAAAGAATAAAAAATTCTCCCTCTCCGCCTCCCATTTCCTACGCCCCTGAAACCTAAACATGAAGACGACCGGAAGTACAGAAATGTGAGAGCTTTTCTATTAATCTTGCTTGCTTTGCAAAATTAAGAAAATATTCATCTTCGCAAAGGGTTTTCTGCAAACGTTCATTTCTGCAAGGCTTTTGGCAAACATAAATCTTCGCAAGGGTTTGGGAAAACATAAATCTTCGGGTTTGGGCAAACATTCATCTTCTAATGGGTTTGAGCAAACATAAATTTTCGCAAGGGTTTGGGAAAACCCTTCATTTTTGCAAGGGTTTGGGCAAACATTCATTTTTGCAAGGGTTTGGGCAAACATTCATCTTTTCATGGGTTTGGGCAAACATTCATCTTTTCATGGGTTTGGGCAAACATTCATCTTTTCATGGGTTTGGGCAAACATTCATCTTCGCAAGGGTTTTGACAATTTCGTTATTTTCGCATGAAGTAAATCTTATCATTAATTTGACACGTTCGTCCCCAGAGCCACCAAAAGTTTATCCGATTATTAACGTCAATAACAAGGACTACAAGGACGGGGACACATACCAGGTGAAAGACGACGACTACATATTTGCGTCCTGCAGCGTGACGGGTGGGTCGCCAGCGGTGTCCCATATCACCTTGACCTGTGGCGTTGAGACGTTGACTGTAACGGGAACGAAGGCAATTCTTCAAGGCAGGAAAGCTCAGAGAACCATGGCTGGCGAGAACTGCACCTGCTCTGCTCGTCACGTGACCGGATGCTACACTCTGACCACGTCTGTCACGCTTGACGTTGCATGTGAGTCTGCTCACCGTGATCAGCGTCTGCGGGGGCCGGGGGGTGGGGTGGGGGGTTGCGTGATGATGGTAGCAGTGGTGGTCATTTTGAGGCTGTGTGATTTGAATATAGGCAAATATGTATTTAAATATGTCGTAAAATATGACATTTCTCTCTACTTCACGAGTCGAAATTATTACTTTTTTTTAGAACACTTATAGCGATAAGCTTAAAATCATAAGTGAACCTGTGTTAACGTATGCAGAGCCATCGCTAGTGGCCTGCAATCCATGCGGCTGCAAAAAAAAAAACGGGGGGGGGGGGGGGGGGA